TTTTCGTCAAATCAAAGCAAACGTCGGTCGATTAGGGTTTGCTCCGCTCAAGAAATCAACTTCCTCACCATTTTCGTCCTCGTTTCACCAGTCGCAGACTTGACACTGCCTCACCGGTCACGCTATTGCCTGCCACCGATTCGTGATATCATTCTTCATCATCGCCATTTCTGATACCGGTCAACCCGTTGCTACTCTGTTATATATTGAGAGGTAACATTCTTTCCCAATACAATTTCAATCTGATATCAGATTCATCATTCGATTGAAATTTGAAATCCTTCTGCAACAAAGATGAACAACGGACCAAGACTCTTCTCCGATATTGGCAAAAAAGCGAAAGGTAATTTAACTAATTTCAATACTCTGGTTTGTTTATTAATCTTTATCTACACCTTCGAATCTCCATTTTTTAGTATCGTCCCTAAGAGTGTGCGAATTTGAATGTGTTACTGTTTCTGTTCTGTGCGTAGATCTGTTAACAAGTGACTGCATATCGGATCAGATTTTTTTTTGGTTTCAACCACAACTGCAAACGGAGTTGTAAGTATTATCTATTCATCTACACTCTAGATTTAGATTGGTTGTTTAATCTTGAATAAACTTACAACATTAAACATTCTACTCAAATACTTGTTCATTTAATTCATTATCCAATTCAGTTTTAAAGGAAATACATTGTATTTCAGTTATGCAAAATGAGTTTTGTATGTAGCTGATACTAGCAAACAATTTGCTAAATCATTAATACGCTTGCAGTCTGCACAGTGTGTGTACATGCTCAAGTAATTTGTCCTAGATTTCCTAATTAGTTTAATTTTTAAAAAGACAATTGGTGCAGTTGCAGGTATTATTAGGTTTAATTATTTCCAAAAAGAAATAGATTTTCTTAAAATGTATGGATTAAGCCCAATAAGCAACCTCATGATTAACTTAAAACCAATGGTAGAAGTAACTGGAAGCACAAAAGTTAAGACTTATAAAGGGCTCATAGAACATGGCTCAGTGAGTTAAATAAGGGGAGAGTTTTTATGTGTTCATTGCATTTGTATCATTTTCTATGTATCAAATAAATAGTTATCTACAATTTAGATTTGTAACAGTTTTTAAATAAACAATCATTTGTTATTTATTCAACATCACTTTTGAACAGAAGGGTAAAATGGTCATGTACTCACATTCATACAGTTTAGATATCATTCCATAAGTCATGCTGTTCAAAAACCAATAAACAAATTCCTGAAGTATTATGAGGTAGCATTTGTCTTTGTTATTATGCTTATTTACTAATTTTTCTCTCCTTGTTGATATAAGAAATTACTGAAGAAGAGGCTGCAGATCACTTGCAAGATGCAATTCAGGAGAAGTTTGCTGCATTTGGGGATGTATGTATTCTAACTACTATACAATCTTATCAAATATCATGTTCTTCATTTTGGAGAACATTAATCTCTGTTGAATGCTTTACACAAGTTTTTATTTATTTATCTATCCTGTTATGTGTTGGATTACAGCGGTGAAAGGAGCATTAAAAATAAAAAATGAAAACAAAAAGAGAATTCTCTCCTTATTATCATATGCCTAATATATTTTTAACTTCAATTTGTAGAAAGATCATCAAGCAATAGATATCCTTTTAGCAGAGATCGATATATATGAGCTTTTTGCTTTCAAACATTGTTGGGGAAGAATGGTGAAACTTGCTCTTTGTGAAGGTAATTTTTTTTCTTAATTTATTATCCTCTATATTCTTGATATTTTCCCACTTTTTAAATCTTTTATCAAATGTTCACTTTTGGGAAGTTTTGATACAGAGCTTGATGAGAGAATGCGTGACCTAAAGTCAGAGCTCCAGTCTTTTGAAAGTGATGAATCTGGTGAAATCCATAAAACAAAAGCTTTAAAACCAATGGAGAGCTGGAATTTGTTTACTGATGATACTTATCAGTATACTTCATTGGTTATGCATCATATTATCTATACATTTTAATTAGACAGAATTACATAAATGGTCCCTGTGGTTTACCCATGATCACAAACTCAGTTCCTGCTAAACCTGAAATGTTAATATATCCCTTATTCTTTCTGATGAGGAAGGTCGATCAAGACAACGGATTCAAACATTTGCAGCAAAAAGGTAACCCTTTTCTTATACCCAATCCTTAGCTACAGTTCTACCCTTGGCATATTTCTATTCAATCTGCATATTTTTAATCTCCATATATCCTAACATAGCTGTTGTAGTATGAACTTCAATTTCAAAAACAAGTATAAACAATTTGATGAATCCTAGAAAATAATGGAGTAAAAGAAAGAAAAAAGAACTTAACTTGTTTGCTTCTTGTTCTTTTTTAGGTATGCAAGTGCAATAGAAAGAAATCCAGATGATTATGATGCACTTTATAATTGGGCATTAGTTCTTCAGGTATAACTTGTGTACCCATGGAACCAGTTAATATATAGCTGCAATTTATTTCTCCCAAAAACATATTTATTAGCTACACCAATATGTTTATACTTTATAATGATTGAATAGATATTTAGTTTTTCTAGATTAAATTACACATCTGGTCCCTGTGCTTAGTTGATCTTTTCGTTTAGTTCCAAAAAGAAATCTTTTATTTCATTGTTGGTCCCTCACATTATAAATGGAAGTTAAAAAACCTTTTTCTCTCTTTCAGGACTTACACAATTACACAGTTGCCCGTGATACTTTCCTTGCACACGTGGGTGCAACATTTTGGGGCTTTATGCGCCACATCATATCACCTTCCCTTGCTGATAGGGCTTTCCATCATTATGAGAAAATATCCTTCCAGTTACTTTTCATCACACAGGAGGTAAAAATAAAATATATCTTCATAACATGAAAACATATTATAATATTATTGCCAAGAATTAATCCTTATTTTTTTCCATATGCAGAAAGTGAGGCATATCAAGTAATTACCTGTGTATATTAAAGCTATCATGGATGGGCTTTCCTCTTTACTTTTACCTTCTCAGAAACCAATATTCAGTCAAGAAGTGTATGTTCACCTTTATCAATGTTAATTTCTCATCTTTTTTGATGATGATAAAGATAAAAAGGGCATTCATGTCTTTTCCAATTTTTTGAATAATGATCTCCAGGTTACCGTTTTCTGAGGACCCCGCTTTGGCAATGGCCTTTTGCATAAATTTTATTTACCAGTGATATGTATTTGACAATTACTTTTTGATGTATCTTGAAAGTATTTTTGAATTTGTCACTATAGTTCGTGTAAACCTTTTTATATATATATATGATATTTTATTTTGCGTTATTAGACATTAAATGTATAATTTAGTTTGATTAAGATTTGGTAGAAATTTAGAATATATATATATATATATATATATATATATATATATAAAATGTAAAACCATGACATACAAAGTATGTCGTAAAACTACGTCGAAAATCATGCTGTACAGAACATATGTCGTAATTTGAAGTCGTAAATGTCTGTCATAATTACAAAAATGTTACGAATTATGACATACAAAGTCCGTCGTAAATGTATGTCGAAAACACATGTCGTATATGTATGTCTTAATTGTTGGTCATAAAGGTCTGTCGTAAATTTTATGACAGGCCAAATGCCTGTCATTTTCCTTTATGACATGACTTTCAATGACAAACTTTTGTCTGTCATGTATAGACATTTACGACAGACATTGTCTGTCAAGGAAAACCTATTTTCTAGTAGTGATTATAAAAAGATAACAAAAAAATAACAGAGGAAGCCCTCATAATCAAGAAAATATATAAAGTAAAGATATTAGGAAGTGTGAAACCGTTTCCAAACTTTCAACTAATTAATATTTTTTCAAATCTAGAAAAACGTATCTTTAAAAAAAACCATTAAGACAAAAAGTAAATGTTTTAGTTGCACGACCATACTTAAACTAAAGGGAGTTGCACGACACATTTTTTAAAACAACTTTATTTAATAATTATTTAATACGAACCTAGGAATTCTATCAATTTAAGATAGAAATGCATTAAAAAAAACAGCTAATAATAATAATAATAATAATAAAACACAACGATATAAGTTACAAATTATATATTATTATTATTTCATGTTCATGAACCGTATAGAGAGCCGCATCTTAATCTAACTGGCATGGGATATCAACGCTGTTAAATAGGTATTCTATGACAAGTTTTTTGGATGGAAAAGCGTTTTCATTGGCTTGAAATATTTAGCAAAAAATATAATCGAACAAATAAAGATTAAGGTGATATTTGGATAAATTAGTTTATAGTTTATTAGCTTATTTGTGGTGGGAATATACAATAAGCAAGGGGGAATATGCTTATTAAAATCAGCTTATTTAGCTTATCCCTACCACAATAAACTACTTTTTAAGGATTCTTATCTAAACATTTAAACTTAGCTTATTGTGGTGGGAATAAACAATAAGCAATAAACATCCTATTTTTTTTCGTATCCAAACACCCTCTCAATATATCCAATATTTTATTTTATAACGAGCACTAATTTTGTCATACTTCAACATGAACATGGGGAGTTCATAGACTATACTTTTGCTTGTTTGTAGTAATTAAATTATTCACTTAAATAACATTATAAATTAACAAAAATCATATAGGACAACCTTAGACTTTTTTTACTAGCATTTTTTCTTAAAAGCTAGAAATAAGATACACGATGTGCCGAACACCTCCAAAAATTGATATGTGACACAAAGTATCTCCTTCGTCATTAAAACAAAATCCAAATCACGATCCGAATATCAATCACCAAATATCTAAAAAGCACGTTACACATGCCATAATGCAAAATGGTTCCTGTTGGCTAAGAGGCAAATGGGGAAGACCAAGATTTTTCATAGTCATGAAAACAATCTTTTTATTGTATAACCCTATCAACTTTAATAATTTATAAAGGAGCAATAACAAGATCATAGCACCACACTAAATTAAGGAACACGTAAATCTATCAACCACCATGTTCACCTTCCGTTTACCACTCTTTTCTTTCCTCCTCCTCTTCTCCACCACTACCACCACAACTACCGCCCAACCATACAAACCCACTGACTACTTCCTCCTCAACTGCGGTGGTGAGTCGGTCACTTCCGATCACCGGAAATGGGACACCGATGAACGCTCCAAATTCATACCCTCCACCACCTCCTTCACCTCCACCCCGAACTACCACAACCCCTCCATCCCGGAAATCCCATATTACACTGCCCGACTCTTCAACACTTCATCATTCACCTACACTTTTCCGGTGATCACCAATGGCCCTAAATTTCTCCGCCTCTATTTCTACCCTGCCACCTACTCCGGCTACCAAGCAAATCAATCTTACTTCTCCGTGTCATCCAATGGTTACACTCTCTTATCCAACTTCAGCGCTTTCCTAACTGCATCCTATCTAGGAACTAACCTCGCTGACAGTTCCCCACTTCCCTACTTTATCAAAGAATACGTTATATATGTAAACGATACCCAATCATTAAACGTCACTTTTACCCCCTCCCCTAACTCGTATGCCTTCATTAACGGTATCGAAATCGTTTCACTACCCGAAAACTTATATTATAAATCAAAAAACATGAAATGCATCGGTCTAAGTGCCGGACCCATGATCAAAGAGTACGTTGGTCTCGAGAATATTTACCGGTTAAACGTCGGTGGAATACAGATTCCGCCCACTGGGGATACCGGGATGTACCGATTGTGGGATCAAGATGATCGATACCTGTTCTCAGCACCAGGCGTCACGCAGGTTTACAAGAATCCGATCACCTACACTGCTGAGACACCGAATTACACCGCACCTGAAGTAGTTTACGCTACCCAAAGAAGCATGGGTAAATTGTCTAAACGTTACAATCTGACGTGGCTACTTCCGGTGGATTCCGGGTTTTATTACATGCTTAGGCTCCATTTTTGTAGTATTATACTGGAATACACGAGAAAAGATGCGGTGATATTTAAGATTTTTATTAATAATCAAACGGCTGAAGATTCTGCTGATCTGTTTTACTGGACTCAAGGTACCGGGTTTCCCGTGTTTAAGGATTATGTCGTATATGTGTTTGATTCTGATGGTAGTGGAAGAAAACAAGACTTATGGCTCGCGATGGCTCCTGACGTTGAATACTCTGAAGAATACAGTGATGCTTTTTTGAACGGTTTGGAAGTTTTCAAGCTTAGCATGAATAGAAGTCTCGCTGGCCCCAATCCGGAGCTCCAACCTACACCACCGTCTCCATCACCACCATCCCCTACCGGAAAAAAGAAAACTCCGCCATATGCCGCCATAATTGGCGGTATTGGCGGAGCGTTAGTACTCATGTTGTCGGTTTTAGGTTTTATCGTTTTCCGGCGAGTGAAACGCTCCGGCGACAAGTCCGATGAGCAAAAATCAAAAGATTCCGGCCTTCCGTCTGGGAGGTGTCGCAGGTTTACAATTCAGGAAGTGAAAGATGCCACCAAAGAATTTGATGAAACTCGTGTAATTGGGAGAGGAGGATTTGGTAAAGTGTACATAGGGTACATCGACAATGATACAACAGCTGTCGCAATCAAACGACTAAACACGTCATCCCAACAAGGTTTGCATGAATTCCGAACGGAAATCGAATTGCTTTCAAAATTACGCCATGTCCAACTTGTATCTTTAATCGGATACTGCGATGACGAGGGTGAAATGGTACTTGTGTATGATTACATGTCAAATGGGACATTACAAGATCATTTATACAAAGCAAAAAACCCTAATTTACCATGGAAACGACGTTTAGAAATTTGCATTGGTGCAGCGAAAGGGTTGCATTATCTACACACAGGTGCAAATCGCGTGATTATTCATCGTGATGTGAAATCAACTAATATTTTGCTCGATGAGAATTTTGTGGCGAAAGTGGCTGATTTTGGTTTGTCAAAGTTAGGGCCGAAAGAGAAAGGAGTGGATCATGTCAGCACAGTAGTGAAAGGGACACGTGGGTATACAGATCCTGAATATTACAAATTTCAACAAATTACAGAGAAATCTGATGTTTACTCATTTGGGGTTGTTTTGTTGGAGGTGTTGTGTTCAAGACCAGTGGTCATAAAGCTAGAGGATCCCGAAGAAGTGGTGAGTTTGGCTGAATGGGGGAGGTCAAATTATGGAAACGGGACGTTGCATGAGATAGTTGATAAGAGAATAAGTGATGAGATTGCTCCTAATTCTTTGATGAAGTTTGGTGAGGTGGCAAATAGTTGTTTAAGATCAAAAGGGAGTAAACGTCCGAATATGGAAGAAGTTGTTTGGGGGTTAGAGTTTGCGTTGCAGTTACAGCTGGAGGCAGCTGAGAAGATAGATGGAGAGGTGGCAGGTGAGATGAAAGGTGGCAGTGGCATGTCGGGAAATCAAGAATTTATGTTTCCGGTGAAAGGAGAGGATGTGAGTGTAGTTGAGGAGTATGAGTATGAGTTAGAGGAGTCGACTGGAGTGGGAATACAACATGGATTGACATCGACTGATGGCAGCAGCCATGAAGTGTGTGTGTCGGAAACGGTTTTACCCAGATGAAGATCAGGGATAGTATAGTAAATTAGGTTTGGATGATCATCGGTGGAAGTATTGTAATTTAGATTTGGATGCTATCAGTTAAGTTGATGTTGGAGTGGATTTTAATTTGATTAATTGTGTGATTAAATTATGTATTATAATGTTTCACGTACAAATGTCCACTGGTCATCACTGAATGTAGTAGTTGTGTCAATTGGATAACTCCTTTTCACTTTTATGGTTTCATACATGGTTAGTGGGTACGTTTGGCAAAAGTTAAAGGCTCCCATTGTGGGACAAACTTCAAATCAAACGAGACATTTCAAAAGTTTACATAAGAATAAAACAAGTAGCATTTTAATACTCTTACCTCCTAAAAGCATTGAACATTTCCGATGGATTTTCGAATAAAATTGGTTGGTTGGATAAAAATGTCGTCAGTAAATATTACCGACCCTTTTCCGATGGAATTAGGGGTCGATGCCTACAATCCTTGTTTGACCTTTTTAACCACATTACCAACACCTTTTTGACCACATTACCAACGTACTTTCCACATATACTTTTACCGACGAACTTCGGTCCAACACTTTTAGCGACGGAGTACCGACAAACACATTTTGCCGGCGCTTTATCGATAAAGCACGACACAGCCGGATTATCGATGGACATGTACCGACGGATTTGTTTACTTTTCATGACAGCTGGTTCCGTCAATATTTCATCGTAGTTTGAATTTTTGTAAAGTATTAAAAACTAAAAAAAAAATCAACTGTTTTTTGCACAAAAATGCAGAAAAAACCAATGTGTGATACAAATATGCTAAACATATAATCACATAACAAATTAATTATAATAAAAAGTGTTAGATCACAATACAATCTGGTGTCAAATATGTTACATGAAAAATGTCAAATACAAGTATTGATTGTTTAGGTTAATTAGAAACATAAAACTAATTTCCGTCTGGTGGATTACAAGACAAGTTGTTTTGGTTGAAAAAAGTCGCTGTTTGTTTGCTTAAGTGAGGCTTGCCTTCCTCGCATTTATGCCATTTTCAACTCCCTTTATGCTTGGCTTTCTCACATGTTAGCTATTTCATGACACAACTTTTCTATCTAAAAAAAGATAAGACAAACATATATAGTTAGTAAATCTACTTAACTTTAAAACCGTTATAACAATGTACTTTTGTTTATTATACGAACATGTTAACAATTTAATACATAACAACAACATATTGTATTTTTTATCTAATATAGCAATGTTCTCACAAGAACAACATATTTTGAGTTTTTTTATCCTTTATAAGAATCAATGTAATCAATAATAACAACATAATACACTTTTTGTCCATTATATCAATATACTCATAATAACGATACACTTTGAGAGCTTTTCTCCATTATAGCAATCAGTTTAATCAATAATAAGATTATACTATACTTTTTTCCATTATAGCAATATATTAATAAGAACCACATACTTTGAGTTTTTATCGATTATAGTAATCAGTTTAATAAATAGTAACATACAATAGTTTTTATCCGTTAATGTACTCGTAATAACAACATATTATACTCCTTATCTATGATAGATATCAATTTAAAAGTCGTGTTAAGCACGACCTATGGAGGTTTGTTTTTGGAAATTTTATAAATACACGGCCTATAGAGACGATCCTAATGTATACTAATAATTTTTATAAAAAGTAAAATATTCTAAAAATAAGAAATAAAAGTGGGATGCTATATAAAAATATAAATGAGAGTGCATTGATATGTCTTGCATTTATTCATATCTATAAAATGGAGCAAATGTAAACTTGAAGATTGAACATTTATAGTGGTGTGACACGTTAACATTCATTTTCTGAGACTTGCTTGCTATTGGAGTTATGTTGTTGGCATAATATATTCACAACCAAACGGTTGCAACTTATGATACATTATCAAGCTAAAAGGCACTTGGATAGCAACAAAAGAGAAACCAAAACATATCAAATTTAACCAACAATAAGTAAAGCAATTAAATTTATAAACCTTATCACATCCTTGATGTGAAATTTATACACTTTAAAATGAGTGTTCCATTTTCCATGGAAAAAATAATAGCAAGCTACATAAAACCCAAAATGATGATCTCTTAAATGTAATTTGAAAATGAAAAATATAAAATATAAAATATAAAAGCTATTTTATAAGAACTCTTTGACCACTTTTAAAAAAAAAACAAACAAACAAACGGAACGACAATTCCTCTCGTCGTTTTTCAGAAATTAAGGAACACTCGAGTAAAACCTATATAATCATAAAACAAATATTACACTATTAAATATCAATAACTTTATGAGTAATTTAAAGAGAATCGGTCATCGATTAAATGTGAATATATTGCTAAGAGAATCATATACCAACTACTTATATATTATTGTTGAATATATTTTCCACACACAAATACACAACCACAACCGTACACACACAACATAGAAAATAAAAAAAAATATCACAATTGATATAATAAAGAATAGGGAAAAGCTTACTTTACCATAGTCTCTAAGATCTCAAATTTATTTCTAGTATTCAAGAGTTTCTATTCTAGTTTAACTTGCTTATGAAGAAAACCAATAGAATATTGATCATGTTGCAAGACCAAGGGGTATTCCTATTACTCATGTTGATAATCCATTTTGTAGTGAATTTCAAATGTGCTTGTAGTGTTACGAACGATTCAATATCTTATATTTCTAGTTTTATCAATGCAACACATTTCGAACACTATTGTCCATATGTAAATCTTCGTACCAACCACTTTAGTTGACACAACAACTCCAACTCCTTTTGATGATACAACTTTGGTTGTTATACTTGCTACTATTCCATCAAGCATTTATGCTCTATTAAGTTCCTCAGCCCAGGGAACTTATTTTTCATCGGTCCTTTTTCCTTCGGTTCTTCATGATGATGTCAAAAAGCAAGAGAATCCATTAGAAGAGAGCATAAATATCAAGTTGAAGACTCTCAAGCTAAACGTCTAAACACAATGGAAAGGGCTTTATTGACATTAACTTTATTAGGGATTACGTAATCCAAGACTTTCCTATTTTTATAATCATTCTACAGAAGCTCCACACTGAGGCTGTGCCTCAACCCGAGGAGCAGTATCTAGCCGATTCATATTCCCCTGTTCTATGACAATGTTCATTTTCTCCATCACAATGTCAAATGCCTCAAGCCGAGGGGCAGTATCTAGCCAATTCATATTCCCCTGTTCTAGATGATAATGTTCATTTTCTCCATCACAATGTAAAAAACATCAATCTGGCAAGCATCTTATCACTACTAGAAAACATGGGGTTTTCCTACGGAAAATTTTCATAGCTAATTAGCTATGGAATGGCTACGGATCAGCTACAGAATGGGACGCCCTAATTTAGCAACGGAATGGCTACGGAATAGCTACGGATGTGAATGTGTAGCTATTTCGTAGCTCATTAGCTATGGAATGGCTAAGGAATAGCTACGGGCTAACATCCGTAGCTATTATGTAGCTAATTAACTACGGAATAGCTATGAGCTAGCGACGGAAGAAAATAGCTACCAAATAGCTACGAAATAGCGATGGATTTATAATTTCCATTATTATTATTATTATTCCCATTATTATTATTTTTCATTATTCGACTCTTAATTTTTTTTTTGGATCATTTTTTATTACATATTTAAGACACGAACAATTAAAAATCATACTAATAATACCATTAATAATAATATTTATAAACATCATAATAATATATAATAATTGTAACAAATGTGTTTAACACACAAACAAACGATTAAACGAAAAAAACTACGTTTAACACATCACTAAGGTGAAATAATCTATGTTTAATTTATAAATAATGAAAATGATTATAATAAAGGGCAATATGTATGCATGTATGTATGTGTATGTATTTGTATGTGTATTTATAAATTTATGTATGTATGTATGTATGTATGTATGTATGTGTATGTATGTGTATGTACGTGAATATGGGTGTGTATATAAATGTATGTGTATGTGTATGTGTGTATGTATATTGTATGTGTATGTGTGTATTTGAATGTGTATGTGTATGTGTATGTGTATGTATGTATGTGTATGTAAGTACATATGTGTATGTATGTGTATTTGAATGTGTATGTGTATGTGTATGTGTATGTGTATGTGTATATGTATGTGTGTGTATTTGAATATGCATGTGTGTGTGTATGCGTGTGTATTCAAATATTGCTCACAAACTGCCAAAGAAGCACAAGTAACTTATCTTTTATCATTTATGTATATTGATTGTCTCAATATTTTTGTACATGACAATGATACTGTTTTGGTAATTTGTAGGAGGCGTATCTACAGGGGTTGGTCAAAAAATACGAAGAAGACTCTTCAAACCATTAAGATGATGCGGGGGTATGGGAGGAAACCCAACTTAGGAGAAAAGGAAAGAATAAGGGTGATATCTATGGCATAGGAGCATCAGATATACATTTTGTGATTTCTGGGACACCATCTTTCCAATCCACCCAATCGAATAGTACACAGCAAGAGGTATATTGTTATGGTTTAAAAGTTAAGTAGTATGTTGATAATATTGATTAAGTTGATAATAAACAAAAGTATGTTGCTATTATGATTAAAAGTTAGGTAGTTTGTTGATAATATTGATTAAATTGATAATAAACAAAAGTACGTTGCTATTATGGTTAAAAGTTAGGTAGTTTGTTGATAATATTGATTAAATTGATAATAAACATAAGTATGTTGTTATTGTTGTTAAGAGTTAAGTATATTGCTATAAGTATTATAAACAAAAGTGCATTGTTATAATAAACTAAAGTACATTGCTAATATTGTTTAACTATTGAATTGTGTTGCCATTTTTTTAGGTTGATAGGTTGCGTGCACAAGTTTCTACCATGGAACAACAACAACAACAAATGAAAGAACAAATGGAAATGGTTATGAGGATGATGAATATGTCTGGAAATCAACCCCGTGCTCCCCCCGATAATCCACCTGAGGACAATTGATAAGTATTTTGGAACAATTGAATTTGTAAACATTTGGCATTGTTTGTTTTGTTAATTAGTGCTTACTTTTGTAAGATATTTTGGACAATGGAATGGAATGTGTCAAACTTGGTATTAGGGACGTTTTTTGTGTATTTTATATGGTATTTGGGACAAATGTGAATTGAATGTGGTATTTGACAAAAAATTGGAAATTTTTAAAATTTTAAATTTTCTTTTTAAATAAAACGAAGTTAGCTACGAAATTGCTACGGATTTCTGTAGCTATTTAGTTCCTTAGCTATTTGGATCCGTAGCTATTTAGTTTCGTAGCTATTCTGTAGCTATTTGGGTCCGTAGCTATTTTGTAGCTATTTAGTTCTGTAGCTATTCTGTAGCTATCTAGTTCCGTAACCATTTCATAGGAAATCCGTAGTTATTTATTTGCGTCGCTATTCCGTAGCTATAGTAGCTACGGAAAATTCCGTAGCTATTCCGTAGCGATTCTGTAGCTAATCCGTAGCTATAATTTAGCCACGGGCCATTATGCTACAGCCAATTTTCCGTAGCAATTCCGTAGCTATCCGCTTATAGCTACGGATTGTGCTGTTGCTATTGCACCAATTTTCTAGTAGTGTATTTATACACAAGTTAAGAAATCTAATGATCAAATCTTCATCCAGATTATGGCGAAAGAGTAGGGTTTTATAATAAAAAAAAGCAAGAAAATTGTCATTCGAACACAATAGCGTCGTCTTAAACAAACGACATACAAATATTGGAGATAAAGATGGCTTCTGGTATTCTACTCAAACATCGGTTCTTAATCAACGATAATATGTGTTTGATTGACAAAATAAATTGTTATAAGAAGATAGGCGCTAACAGTGTTAAACCGAAACATAAACATTGGTAGATAATAATATGCTTACAGCAGGCGGTACTTGTCATTGGAGATAAGCAGTTTTAGGTTCACCAAGCCTAAAAGATACAAGATCCTCACGTTGCACATGAAAAGATATTATGAAGAAGGAAAATTTAATGATGAAACCCATAATAGTACATGAAAAGTGATGCTTATGCCTGGAGTGAAGATCCTAAGCTAAAGTCTCTCATAGATAGAAATTGTTTACAAGCTATTTAGTGATTGCGAACTATATTTGTTTCCGAGTTTATGAATCATGAGAAAATAAACTAATTTCTATTTTGTGTTATGTTTACTTTCCAATATGAGATAATATCAACAATAATCTTTTGTCAGATATAGTACACTGTTGATTTGCAGTTCACGCCTTAAACTTTTTGTTCCCTTTATCCCTACTTTCTCCTAGTTGCTATATATAGGAGTGTCAACCCTTGAAGTCCTTAAACTTTATTAAATCAAGAAATTCATTCATAATTCTCCAAAAACACTCTCCTTCTGCATTTACTTCATTTTACTATTATATCCTTGCATCGAATATTTTGGTTATTATCCTTCAAGGCCTGACTGGATTTTTTAATCCAGACCTTATGGGAACAAGTTATTAGCCTCCATTGCTCTGGCTTACTTAAGGTATACTTCATTATACCTTGTCTGAAGCATATTTGTGATATTTTAATTCCTATCAATTGGTATCAAAGCCATAGTGGTTGTCCTTTGAGTATATACGATTAGATTATCATTGATTGAGAATACCTTGGTTTCTCATTCATTTCTGCATCAACGGGAAAAAAAATTCTTCATGTATACCAATATTGCTCACTACAACACAACAATGACTGCTTCTAATCCGAACCTACCATTTTATTTTGTCCAAATTGAAAATAATATGGGTTGCCCCACACGAGCCCCATTACTAGTTGTGGAAGAATATGATTGTTGGAAAATGAGAATGGAAAGATTATTAAAATAAAAAGATAAAGGTGCCATAATTTGGAGATGTGTCATAGAAGGTCCTTACATACTTGCAAGAAATGTTTTTAGGGATGTTCTGGCTCAACTCATGGAGAAAGAAGAACTTCGAGCTAGACCTCCAACTCTAATGGACGAACAAAAGACGTGTGCTGATGACATTGCTTTCTCTAAAACGGTTTTTGCTATCCCTTCATATCTTTTTTGAGCGTATCAAGCTTTGCAATTATGAAAAGGAGATATAGGATACACTAAAGACATGTTTGAAGGTTCTAAAAATATCAATGACAAAATATTAACCTATGTGGTAATTGACTATGACACTTTATTTTCCTTCGCTGTGAATTTGTGGTACCTACAACAAATCGTTACAGATTCTTGGTGAATAACCTCTGCGCACATGGGATGGACAAAACTCCCATTGAGAATAATCTCAGTTTCATCGAAATTATAGGAAAAGGTAAGGGAAATGTTAAGTCATGTCTTTAAAACAATGCCCCTTCAGAATCTTCAAGGCAATGTCCCTCACCCCGGTTAGATCCACAAATTTGTTGTCACAAAACAATGCCCCTTCAGAATTTTACACATAGATTCCTTAGGTTCCCTTCTCGGAAGACAACCTAGACCCTGACTCTATAGTAAAAGAACTTCAGTTTCAACAAGATTTTTCCTTGTTAACCATGAAATACAACCGAAGTCCTTAGGTCAAGTAACACATGCCTTCCCCACTACGCATAGTTTTAAATATGTATTTACGTTGGTCAATGATTGATATATTTTGGAAATAAATGAAACAGAATTATTGAAGTATATGTGTTTATAGATATTTAATAATAATTAAAATAATCATTAAAAATAAAAGACTAACTAGGTGTAACATTTGTGTTCTCTGAGGTAAAAATTTTTATAAATAGTTCTTGAGTTTTGGTTGACCACGACGTGGTCATGCTAGAATATTCGTGGTACTTTAATGAGCCCCACGATGTAGCATTGTTGGACACGACGTACCGAGAGACTAAAACGTTAAACCCTAATTATTCGGGTATTTAAAGGAAATAGGGAGGCTAGGGTTGCCCACCCTCAGCCTCCATCACTCTTAAACCTCTGAGTTCGTAACCCTAATCTCCTTTGAAGCTTTTGTGCTCATTTGGGACTTGTGGGTGGTTTTTAGTTCTTTATTGAAGAATAAGACTCCTTTGGTGTATTGTTTGGAGCAATAAATCTTCTTTCCATCAACTTGTGCTGTTGATGGACCTTTGTAAGTTGTCAAGCTTCTACTTATATCTTTCAAGCATGCTAGATCTAGGTTTTTGTTCTTATTTCTTCATATTGGATTGAGTAGAATACATGGTGTCGAAAAAGTTGGCAACTTTATGGATTATTAAGGTCCCCTTGCTATCATATGTTTCAGATCTGGAGTTTAATGCTATGTTGGGTTCCATGCATGAGATTCTTAGTGATATTGCTTCATTTTGACCTAAGCTAGAATCTAGACTTGTTTTGGGCATGCATGTTTGAAAAAGCAATGATCTTTGGAATATTTTAGACCTTAGTAAGGATTCTGGAATGTAACATCCTGACTTCCAGGTATATGATTTATTTCATGACAGACAAAATCCCCTTGGAACTCGTCGAGTTGATGGCCTCAACTCGACGTGTGGAAAGCTCTTGGGCTGCAGATTTCTTTGTACCAACTCGATGAGTTGGTAAGGAAGAACTCGACGAGTTGGCGGCTGGATGAGAAACCCTAAATTTTAGGGTTTGCATCCTATATAATCTCCTTAAGTCTTTGAGGTTGATCTCTTATTAGCCTCCCAAATCCTAATATCGACCTTGTGAGCCCTAATCTTCATTTCTTCTCATATTGTGAGTTAGTTTGGAATTTTGGAGCAAAGAAAGATAAGATTGGGTAAAATAAGCAAGGATCTAGCAAGCAAAGCCTTTGGTTTCCAGCTTGGCACTCTTGTGGACCGTTGTGAGTATTCAAGATCTGATTTTTATCTTTATGTGTAGCTAGATCTGAAGTTTTTGCCCTTTTCCCTCTCTATTATTTGTTGTTGCATGCATGGGCTTCATAAAGGTTGCAACTTTATGAATATCTAGGGCAAGATAGCCTCATAGTGGGTTAGATCTGGGTTTTTGTCAAGCTTTGATGCCATGCATGGATTTTAGGGCATATTTTCCCTTTTTGGCCCATTTTGGCTTCAAGACATGAATTGGACATGCATGTCTATAAAGCATCAACCTTTGGGACGTTTTTGAGGTGTGGACCTCTTCTTGAAAGGATGGGTTCCATATCTCTAGGTTTTGGGGCTTAATGGTTAAGTCTTTGAGTTTCAAGCCTTGGATAAGAGATTTTGAGCATTTAGGGTAGTCACAAAGGATAAAGTTGGAAAATTTATCCTTTAAGACACATTTGGAAGTCCATATCTGAGCCTTAGAGTCCCTGGAATCGATGGATCATCCGAATGTGTTTAACAGGGGGAAAACTCATCGATTTGTCCATCTAACTCGACGAATTGGCTAGGGTTTTCCCGACTTTCCGAGTGCTGAAGTAACTCGACGAGTTGCTAAGTGCACTCGATGAGTTTGGTCAACATGGACTGTTGACCTTGATCGTTGACTTTGACTTGACTAGGGTTGACCAAGTTTGACTTTGAGGGCATTTTGTGTTTTCCGGGGTTTTGATAGAAATGGTCACATGTTGGTTGTAGGCATTCGAGTCAGGAGTTGATATTTGAGAGTTGGATCTATAGACAGTGCTGCTTGTGAGGTGAGTTTCCTCACTACACTCATGGGTCAAAGGCACCAATGTCGGCCCTTTTTGGATATTATCCTGGTTATCTTAGGATGTTAATATGTTGTTACGATCTGTTAGATTGGTATCCTGATAGATAGGATGATGTCATGTTTATTGATCTGTATGATCTATGCTTGCCTGTTAATTGATTATGCGTTTATGAGTTATGTATATGTCGACATATGTATGTGTGTGGTTGGGTTGAGGTGGTCCTACTTTGTGCTGAAGGCCAACAGACCTAGGGCTGCCCAGTTAGACTATAGGCCTGCAAGGCGGTCCAGTCAGGCTGAAGGCTCAGCGAGCGGTCCAGATAGGCTGTAGGCCCTG